GTTTGATGTAATAAGGATGGGTTAGAGTTTGAAAACTCTAGGCAACTTGTGTTTAACGTCGCTAGAAAGATGTGAAATTTTGGCTCTCAATCTTCAAAGTGGATAGGATCCACTAAGAGGGCGGCTTCTATATCTCTTTGAGTAACTTGTCCCTCAATGTAGGGTTTTAATCTTTAGCCATTGACCTTAAAGGTGACTTCATCTTTCAAATTTTTAAGCTCCATCGCTCCATGAGGTATGATAGAAAAGATCTCATATGGGCCTTCCCACCTAGAGCGGAGCTTTCCAGAAAAGAATTTCAGCCTATAATTGAATAGCCACACCTTTTGACCAGGCTCGAAAGACTTTTTCACAATATGACTATCGTGAAATACTTTTGTCATTGCCTTATAGATTTTTGCATTATCATAGGCGTCATTTTTCAATTCTTCAAGCTCATTCATTTGGAAGGAACAATTTTCACCGGCCTTATCAAGGTCAAGATTTAACTTTTTGATTGCCCAAAATGCCTTATGTTCTCCAAAATTTACTTGATTTCCCTATTGAAACCTCTACTTGCCTATTGGTTTGAGGATAGTAGGGAGTGGCAACCTTATGAGTGACGGAGTACTTTAAGAAAAGTTATCTCAAGAAGTAATTGAAAAAATATCTTCCTCCATCACTAATAATCATCTTTGGCATACCAAAACGAGAAAAGATGTTTGATTTTATGAAAGAAATTACCACGGAGTGGTCATTCGTTTTGGTAGCATAAGTCTCAATCCACTTGGAAACATAGTTAACGGCAACGAGGATGTATTAAAAGCCATAAGACATTGGGAATGGTCCCATGAAGTCTATGCCCCAAACATCAAAGATTTCAACAATTAAAACTGGATTTAAGGGTATCATGTCTCTCTTTAACATTGACCCCAACTTTTGGCACCGAACGCACACCTTGTAAAAATTGTAGGCATCTCGGTGGATAGTGTGCCAAAAGAGCCCACTTTGATGAACCTTCAAAGCGGTCTTCTTTCCACTAAAGTGCCCCCCCCCCCCCCCCCAAGCAAGCGTGTGACAAAATACAAGGACACTCGGAATTTCAATTTTCGACACACATCTACGTATAATTTGGTTCGGGCAATATCGAAACAAAATCGGATCCTCCTAATAGTACTTCTTGATGTTAGCAAAGAAACGGTCCATATCTTGTTTTGACCATGTAGTGGGAAGTTTACCAATTGCAAGATAATTTACAATGTCGGCAAACCAAGGCAACTTCCCATTAGAGATGTGAAAAAGTTGCTCATCCGGGAACGAATCACAAATTGGAAGATTTTGGGAGGATTTAATCATTAATCTTGAAAGGTGGTCGGCAACGACATTGTTAGAGCCTTTCTTATCCTTGACTTCAAAGTTGAATTCTTGGAGGAGGAGAATCCACCTAATCAAACAAGGTTTGGTTTCCTTTTTCATCAACAAGTGCCTTAGAGCGGCATGGTTGAAAAACATAACCACTTTTGATCCCAAGAGATAAGACCGAAAATTTTCAATGGCATATACTACGGCAAGTAACTCTTTCTCGGTGGTAGAATAATTCAATTGAGCACCTGAGAAGGTTTTGCTTGCATAGTATATGACGCATGGAATTTTTCCCACCTTTTACCTTAAGACGACACCCATTGCGAGTCAGAAGCATCATACATAATCTCAAACGGTAATGACCAATTTGGAGATTGCATGATGAGGGAGGATGAGAGGAGAGTTTGAAGTTAATGAAAGGCCTCTAGGCATGCTTCATCAAAGACAAACGGTGCTTCCTTTGCAAAAAGATTGCACAAGGGTCTAGCAATTTTGCTAAAGTCTTTGATAAATCGGCAATAAAAGCCGGCATGACCTAGGAAGGAGCGGATTTCTCTCACCGTTGAAGGTGGAGGCAATTCGGAGATTAGCTCTACCTTAGCCTTATCAACTTTGATACCTCTTTTGGATATCACATGTCCTAACACTATCCCCTTTTGAACCATGAAATGGCTCTTTTCCCAACTAAGAACAAGATTAGTCTTACGACATCTTTGGAGTACTTTGGAGAGATTATGAAGGCACAAATCAAAGGATGACCCGAAGACCGAGAAGTCGTCCATGAAGACTTCATGATACTTCTCAACCATATCCGAAAATATCGACATCATACACCGTTAAAATGTGATGGGAGCATTACACAATCCAAACGGCATCCGTCGGTAAGCAAATGTACCAAAGGGACATGTGAAAGTGGATTTTTCTTGATCTAATGGGTCTAGGGCCACTTGATTGTCCCCCGAATACCCATCTAGGAAGCAATGGTATTCTTGCCCAGCCAATCTTTCTAAGATTTGATCGATAAAGGGCAAGGGAAAATGATTTTTCCTAGTGGCAGATTGAGTATGCGGTAATAAATGCATACACGCCACGAAGTGGCTGTGCATTTCAAAATGAGATCACCTTTAGCATTTTCCACAACCATAATTCTTGACTTTTTGGGAACTTTAGAATCGAAGATAGAATAAATGATTCCCGCATCTGAGAGTTTCACTACCTTCGTCATAACCACTTCCTTCATATTCGGATTCAATCTCCTTTGAGTATCCCTAAATGGCTTTTCATCCTCCTCCATGTGTATACAATGCATATATATTAAAGGTTTCAATGCCTTTTAGGTCGGCTACACTCTATCCAATGGCTTCTTTGTTTTTTTAAAGCACATCCAAAAGAGCCTTTTCTTGGTTATCTTCAAGATTTGAAACAATGATGACCGGAAGAGTCTCCCTTGGGTCTAAAAAGGCATACTTGAGATTAGATGGAAGTTGCTTAAGCTCAAGAGTAGAAGGAGAGATTAGAGATAGAACCGGTGGAATTTTAGAGAGTGAAGGAAGGGATTCTTTCTTTTGCTTCCATTGTAGGGAATCCAAAGTGGCCACGGAGTCTATCAAAGCATTCACTTCGCTTATGGATCCTTCTGTGTCAAAACCACAACTTTCATAAAGATTAAAGAGGCACGCCTCTAGAGGGTCTTTTGACAGAATAGAGGGAAGATTCTCCTCTATGATTTCATCCAAGACATCTATAGAGAAACACTCGCCTTCATCTATGGGATGTTGGCTCACGTTGAAGACATTTAACTTAACCATCGTGTTGCCAAAAGAGATGTCCATGATTCTGGACCTACAATTTATGGTCGCATTTTCGGTGGCAAGGAATGGTCTTCCTAAGATGATTGGGATTAGAGGTTATTTCGGTGTCAAGTACAACAAAGTCAACCAGGAATGGTCTTCCTAAGATGATTGGGATTTGATTTGTGGGATTAGGGGCTATTTCGGTGTCAAGTATAACAAAGTCAACCGGAAAGTATAAATTATCAACCTTAATAAGGATGTCCTCGACAATTTAATCCCTTAGGCTTTTTGGTATATTTATCGGCCAATTGAAGTACCACCGAGGTTGGCTTCAAGTCACCTAACCCTAACTGGACATATACAGAGTATGGGATGAGATTAACACTAGCTCCTAGGTTAATGAGAGCTCTACGAACCTATTGATTTCCAATTACACAAGAAATGGTTGGAGCACTGGGATCCTTGAACTTAGGGGGAGTGTTAGAGAGTAGAATGGAGCTCACTTGCTCAGTTAGTAACACTTTCTTGAGGTCCTTGCCCTTGCTCTTCCTCTTTTGTGTGCACAAGTCCTTCAAAAACTTTACATATGGTGGAATTTGCCTTATAACATCCAAAAGAGGAAGGTTAATTTTAACTTGTTTGAAAACTTCCATCATACCATAGATTTTACCCTCTTGTTTTTCAAATGGTGAAGTCACTCTTAAAGCATGAGGAAATGGCGCTTTCGGCTCATAAGGCTTTTCCATTTGAGGAAATGATGATGAAGATGATGATGGAAGGTTCCCCTTGGAACCACTTGCACCTAAGGAAGTTGGAGTAAGATTTGGAATGGTTCACATTTTTCCCTTGGCATCTCAACCTTGTTGTCAATTTTTCTACCACTTCTCAAGGTAGTCACGACTTGGACTTGTTTATGGTCAAAATATCCCAATATGGGATTTGAGTCCACCATATATTGTGCCTTAGGATTGGTCTCGGTTTGGCTTAGTAGCTTACATTTCTCTCTTACATTCAATGAGTTAGCTATTTGCTCGATTTGGGTTTCAAGCTTTGCAATTGATTGAGAATGAAAATGAAACACTTAGTTATCCTTTCGGAGACCACCTAAGGCTTCTAATACCTTGTCCATCTTATCCTGAAAAGTGGGGTTCTTAGGAGGTGCTTGAAAATTGGACGCTTGAGAATGAGAGTGAAATAGAGGATTTGATGCTTGAGGATGAGAGTATTGATTTACATTTGGAGGAACATATGAGTTGGAACGGTAACCTTGAAAGTTTTCATTTTGAGATTGAAGATGTGGGGGGACATATTTCGCTTGGTAAACTTGATTTTGAGAAGGGTTTGCACTATCTCTTTGGTTTCTCCAAACAAAGTTCGGATGGTTCTTCCGCCCCGGATTATATGAGTTAAAGTAAGGGTTGTTCCCTTGATGCACAAATGCGGCATGGCTTGTTCTTGTTGCTCATTTTGTAAAACTTGTCCATGGGGACAATTGGAAGTATGATGAGCATAACTAGAACAAGTCAAACACATTTGTTGATGAGGATGAAATTGGGAGGAAGATGATTGATTTGCCGGAAATTAATTTAAGAGGAAATTATCCAACCTTTGAGTAAGATTATCAACTTTAGCGGCAAATTCAATGGATGTATCTATTTGGCATAAAACTTTTTTCCCTCCTTTAGAATAATGCCTCCCCTAGATGACGAAGATTTGTGCATTGAGTTTTCACTCAATTTTTCAAAAAGATGCCAAATTTCATCTTTCGGTCTATCTAGATAGGTACCTCCACAAGAGGCATCAACAATGCCCTTGTTAGACTCAGATAAGCTCACATAAAAGTATTAAACCAATTGCCATCTAGGACTTTCATGATGTGGACATTTCCGTAGTAAGTCATTCAATCTCTCCCATGCTTCATGGAGGGGTTCTCCTTCATCGGATGAAAATTCACGGATTAGAGTTCTCATTGAATTTGTTCTACTTGCGAGGTAATATTTTTTAAAAAATTCGCCTTGTAATTGAGCCCAAGATGTGATAGTATTAACCCCTAAGTTGTTATACCAATACTTAGCCTTATCCCTAAGAGTGAAAGGGAAAAACTTCAATTTTAGAACTTCTTTCGGCATTTTTGTGATTTTCACCGTGGAACACACTTCCAAAAATTCATGATGTTTATAAGGCTCCTCATTGCTCAACCCATAGAAAATGGGGCACATATTGATGGTGGACACCTTAATTTCATATTAATGAGCATGAAAGTTTGGCAACCGAATGCAAATCAGTGCATTATATTTATTTGGAGTGTAGTGTTCTCTAAGAGCCATGGGAGGATTAGGTGGATACACCATATTACCTTGAAAATGATACAAGACACGACCTTGAGGAAATTGCATGTATTGAGGTTGTTGCCCACCATTGGGTGGCACAACATTTGGCATTTGTATTCTTTGATTAGGTTGTTGCATTTCATTGTTGGTTTGTTGTGGCATTCAAGGGTGGATGCACACCTTGAAGAATTTGCACGATTGGTAAATTTTGCATATTATGAATTTGTTGGCCACCTACCACTCCACCTACCACTTTTGTCTTCTTCCCCAAAATATCCCAAAAATATCTTAGATTTGTCTTTATTCAAAAAGGCGCCGCTAAGGATGGATCGATCTTGCCATAATTTGATAGAACTCAAAGTTCGATCGATCTCACCACAGTTCGATTGATCGAACCCTCTCAAGTGCAAATTAAAACAGAGTCTAGTTCATTAAAAGTTGGCTCATGGTACAATTATTGGAGGAGCCCTAGTGCACGAGTCTAGACCATTGGGTGTAACATTTGAGCTACCTATATAACGATTTTGAGCCACTTTTATATCATACTTTTTGATAGATAACATATCATACTTTTGAGAACCAATCTTGGAGATTAAGAAAAGAGAGGAGGAGAGGCTAGAGACTAAAGACACAACATATGGGAGTTCTTCCATTCATCTAGGATTTCCATCAGGAAGAAGATCATTCCTACAATGGAGATAGCCCTTGAGGGTTAGAGGACTACATCAATGAGTGGCTAAACATCTTCTTGGGGCTAGAGTTAGCCCTAAGCATGCCTTCTAGACCTTGATGTTTTGTATTTTGAGGGGATTTGTGTTGTAATTCTTGTCTTGACACTTGATTTATATATGAATCTTGTTTATTCAATTATTTGTGTGGTTTAATACTTCCAATTGATCATTTCATTATATCCATATGTCTTTGTATGCTAGAATAGATGTTCATGTGTTTATCTCTAGTTTTTGTGTTGTTGATGCATGTCTATGTGTGTTGATGCTATGAATCTAGAAATTGTTAAGGCATGGTACTTAATAGAATACTCTTATGGTTTATTTGATAGTTCATACTCAATTCTTGATGGATTTGTGTCTCTCCCCTAGTTTAATTAGTTTAATTTTAATGTCCCTAGCTTAGTTGTAGTGTAGTTGCCTTAGTTTTTAGATAGGAGGACAATCCATGCTTGTTGTTTAATATTCCATGCTTATGAATGCAAGTAGTGTATTTCTCTAACCATGTGATGTGTTTGGATTGTGAGCTTAAAGGAATGAATAATGGCTTAGTTTGATATATTGTGCTATTCACCATGTTGCTTAGACAATATATACTTAATTGATCATCCATACTTGTTGAAACAATCAATCACACACACTAATATTGCAACCCATGTTTCCCCTCATTCATTACACATTGAGTGTCTAGAAAGGTGATGTTTAGTGGTGACCTCTAAGTCCCAAGACTTCTCTCTTCATTTACTATTATTTGCTTTATATTGAATTTGTTTAGTTAGTTAGTAGTTTAATCAACCAAATAAACCACATTTTGATCACTCGACCTACTAACCCCATATTGTTTCCATATCAATACTGCCCCTTAATCCCTTGGGACGATCCCTTCTCACTCATACTACATAGTATAGGTGTTAAGCGGTTGATAAATTTAAAGTATGGTGCCCACTTGACACTAATTTCCAAACTCAAAGTGGTGTGCATTATTTTGTGCACACGCTCGGGAAGCCACCATAGTAGTAAGCTGCTGGAACTAAACCGATAAATGGCCGGAACTAAGCATGTCTTCAACAACTGTGCCGAATCTAAGCCAGTCACCAACAACAAGGCCGAAAAACTCTAGTGAAACGAGAGCCGGCAACGCAGGGATCGACATGGCAGACAAACTCCGGGATCGACTAGTCGGCAAACGCTGGGAATCAACTTGACAGAGAGAACATGCTCCCCCTCAAACTCGAAATGGGATAAAATAGAGAAAGATTAAGAACACAGCATATACACGGTTCGGCACTAAGGCCTACATTCATGGATCAAGAGTCACTTAGGCTACATTTCTCTTATTGCTTGTATTTCTTCCTATCTTTACATTGTATTGATACACAATATATAAGGAATAAAGTTGGAGATAAAAATAATAAATCAAGGAGTAAATCAAGGAGGAAAGAAAGGCAAAGGAATATAACATATATTATACATATATATAATACATATATTTCAATAAAGGCTAAATCCAATCCGATTTGATCAAGAGTCACTTAGGCACAATTTCCTTATTGCTTGTATTTCCTCCTATCTTTACATTGTATTGATACACAATATATAGGGAATAAAGTTGGAGATAAAAAGAATAAATCAAGGAGTAAATCAAGGATGAAAGAATGGCAAAGGAATATAACATATATTATACATATATATAATATATATATTTCAATAAAGGCTAAATCGTATCCGATTTGATCTGTGAAATATTGGATCGGACTAAATTAGTTTTACGGATTAGGGTTTTTTTTCCCATCTAAACAGCCCAATAATTATTTGGTTTAAAAAGTCACACAATCCTTCTCAATGATGTTGCTCTCAAGTTCTGAGCGTGCTCCACGCATGCTCTAATTCCAATTCCCAATCTGTATTACTTAAATTTTGCCTTTTTTGTGTTCTCGCTCTCGAATTCGCCCTTACTCCTTCTTTGGCTTTATGTGAGTTAGGATTTTTCCCATGTCTAATTAGAAAGCAGTTCATTTAGTCTCCAACTGAAGGATTAAATAAGGAATTCATTATCATAGTTAAGAAAATCTTAGTGTACTTTGTTGGCCTAAGGATTTAATCTAAAGGTGAATCTTATGTTTTGATGATTACAAACCATTAATGATGTTTATGTACTAATATTTTCATTGAGTGATGCATAGTTGATCAATCATTCAATCCTCAATAATGAGCCAAATGTTCCATGTCAAGCATTCCAAGCACTCAAGCAAAGGATTCAAGGAAGCATCAAAGTTACAAGAAATCAAGAAAAACTCGGATTTCAAAGATCATTCAAGCACTTCATTAAGCCTAACCAATCATAGTCAAAGAATGAAGAAAAGGGTAAATAGGATGGTGAGAGTTTAAGATTAAATGTCAAAGTTAATTTGAATACATTTTTTGAAGCTCAAAATTTTAGGATCATGCATACTCATTCTACATTCAGTTTTTAAAATGCCTAATGATGAGCACTGAAAAGTGCGTATTTAAACCCCTTAAACTTAGGCATTCTAGTACCTTTATCAATCTTGCTTTACCGTTTTAGATTGATTTCGTATTATTTTCATTTTCAGGCACTTATCCCGATATTAAGCTAATTCAGCCAAATAAGAGCTTAATTGAAGCAATTCTGGGATTAAACAAAGAAAAGAGCAAAGTGGAGAAAGAAAGAAGCAAATGAAGCCAAAGGTGACAAGCAGCAAAGTTCAATCGATCCAAGTTCAAGGTTCGATCGATCAAACAATGATCGATCTCAGTACTTCAAGATAGATCCAAGCCCTGACCCAAATGCATAAAGTCCAAAAGTTCGATCGATCCAACATCACCCTTCGATCGATCGAACACTTTTGTCCGTATTCATATGATTGATCCTATTCACAGTTGTATCACCCACTAACCACTTTTGTCCTTTTCCCAAAAATATCTCCCAAAATATCTCAGATTTGTCTTTACCCAAAAAGCTCAGCCAGTTGGATTGATCCAGCCTAAGTTTGATGGATCTTAGCCAGTTCGATCGATCCAAGTCTAAGGTTTGATCGATCGAACTTCCTCCAGTGCGAAAAAGTTAAATTTCCATCTCATTAAAAGTTGTCCTTTATCCAATCATTAGGGAATATTGTGTGCACGACCCCAGCTCATTTTGGGTGTCATTTTGACCTACCTATTTAAGGATAAGAATTGCTTTTTTAAAAGGGGGGCCATATATATCATTTTCATATCATCTCTTGGGGAGGAAGCATAGAGGAGGAGGCTAGAGACACCATTGAAGTTCTTCATCAACAAGGAGCAGATTTCAACCATGGAGTTAGACCTTGAGGGTTGGAGCATCATCACCATAAGTGGCTAGACATCCTCTTGGGGCTAGAGTTAGCCCCAACCATGCTTTCTATATCTTAATCTTGTGTATTACTGAGGGATTAGTGTTTTAATTAATGTTTTGACACTTTTATACATATAGATCTTGTTTATTCAATGATTTATATGGTTTAATGCTTCCAATCAATCATTTTATTCTATCCATATGTCTATGTATGCCAGAATAGATGTTCATGTGTTTGCCTCTATTTCTTGTGTAATTGATGCATGTCTATGTGTATTAATGCTATGGATTTAGAGATTGTCAAAACATTGTGCTTAAAAGAATGCCCTTGTGATTTTTTCTAGATGGTCCATGCTCATTTCTTAGTGGATTATGCCTCTCCTTTAGCTTAATTAGTTTAATTTCATGTCATTAGCTTAATTGTAATGTAGTGGTAGCATAGTTGTTAGATGAGAGGGCAATCCATGCTAGTTGTTTAATGTTCCATACTTTTAAATGCAAGTAGCATATGTCTCTAACCTTGTGGTGTATTTGGCTTGTGAGCTTAATAAAAAGATTAATGACTTGCTAGATA